GGCAGAAATTGCCTAGGTTGCAGTGGAGAGAGATTTTTTTTTTTAAAGCTGTAATATACAAAAACAAACGGGACAAGGATAAAATTTGGAGGCCTAACCAGTCATTACACACGTGATTTCTGTTACTCAGAATTTCAGTAGAATGTTTAACTGCCTTATTTGACTGTCATCATTGAATGAGATGTTTTAACCTTCCCCCTGTGCCCCTGACATTATAAGAAGCTGGACCCACTCTACACTACGCAGTTTGATTTATTCAGTCAGTGATCCACTTAACAAACATTGTTACAAATGTAGCAAAGTGAATTGTGTGCATCCATCAGAACCTGCAACACACCTATGAAAAGTGAACAGGATGCCTAAGCCATTTGAATAATTGAATAGAGGCCCTGCTTTATTTTTTCTCTCTGGGGTGTTTGGATGACTTCATCTGTGGTTACTGAAGAGCAAAGTGAAGCCCTGAATTTTGCCTCTGCTTGAAAGAGGGCTTATTTATATTGGACAGAAAGGATGCAGCATAATAAGGATACAAGTGGCATAAAGCAAGACGATGGTTAATTCTCTCCCAAGTCCTCTCTCCCCAAATCCTCTCATCAGCGTGTCGAGAGCCAGCAAGGGAAGCCAGTTGAGGACTGGGCCGTTTGTCAGCTCTCAGTCACTGAGTCACTAATTCTGACCTGTGTCAGATTCTAGGAAGCTGTAGACATCTTCCCTGAGAAATTCCATGAGGAAAGCTGAACCATGCTTCGCCATTTCGCAGTTTGGGAGTATGGGGGGTTCTCTCAGTTCTAGTTCAAGGGAAAAATTGCTCTGTTATTATCTATTTTTTCTTTGGAGCATCAAAAGGCCACAGGTGAGCATGGTGTTACTGGGACTTGGTCTCATCAGAGCAGTTAACCAGGCTGAGGTTTTATGACAGACACAGATCCCTTAACTTTGCATTTGTTTCCATCACTAGAGACAGTAATAAATACGACCTATTCTGGTACCTGATGGGGCAGAAGAGCACACAGAGGCCTACGATCGCGTGGAAGGAACCACAGAGAAGCTTCCGTTGTGTAAGCCTAAGAAAGGTTCCTGTTCTCGCTCCTTAGTCTGAACCTTAGGCTAATAGCTAGCCTCTAAATTGAAGATGATTAGTAAAATAATGTGAAAAAAAATTTTAAACAAGTATTTCTTTATCTTAATATGCATTATTACTTTTATTTTATATTATTATATTGGGAGGCCTAAATCACATAAATGCCCTTTTACTGAAACTTAGAAAACTTCTTGATATGGA